AAATAAATAAATAAATAAATAAATAAATAAATAAATAAATAAATAAATAAATAAATAAATAAATAAATAAATAAATAAATAAATAAATAAATAAATAAATAAATAAATAAATAAATAAATAAATAAATAAATAAATAAATAAATAAATAAATAAATAAATAAATAAATAAATATAACATCTACTACATTTAGACTTGTACTATATCAAAAACTACCGTGAAACAGATTTAATTTTGTGTCAAAACAATTTCATGAATTTCCTATTTGATTTGGCATGTCTGTGAAGTCTTTCAGCAGGCAACTTGAATATGTTAATAAAGACACAGAACCTTGGAAACTTTTGTTTGTTGTCACAAAAGCAATCAAATCAAATCACGAAAATTTCTAGTAACAAAAACGAGAAGGTTTACAATACTAGTATCTTATTTAATTATGTTTTTGTTTACTGTTTCTACTAATATGCAGATATAATAAGTCAAACCACTGGAACACAGTGCTAATAATTTTTGTTTTGAATGTATGAAAAGTTGAATTACTGATAGTTAAACTGAATTACGAATGACTTATATTTGGTTGTGTGGATTGGTGAATATCATGTCATCATCTGTGACTGTGATGATGAGCAAAACAGATGTTACCTGGTAACGGATGGTTCATCGATGTCGCTTGGCAACCACGTTATATTTGGCATCCTTGCTGCGAAATGAACCACATGTTGTCCAGTGCCCGATCCAACTTCCAACGCAAACCCAGTCCTATCGAGCCCTGCGTAATGCATGAGGATTTGGGCAACAGCTTCCTTGTTCCGGTCAGCTGATGGCGATCGCAACATTTTAGGAGTAGTATCGGAGCGAGTTACAATTAGAATTCATCTGGTTGGTAAAGTTAATTTCAGGCGACGGACTCGGGAAAATCCAGCAAATGTCAGGTGGTGGTCAGTTACGGCGCAGACTGGAAATCAAAGTTAATCCGATGTCTGTGTCATCGGGCCACGTGTTATTCTTAAACGTAATCAATCAACAATTGAAAGAGTGACAGTGCAGTGTGACGCATTAGTCTCACCTGCAAACATTGGACATTGGATACTAAAAGCTACTTCATGGCTACATCACAAATCGCCATCTTGTTATTGAGTGTGCGCCCCCAACGCTGAGCTGTACGCGTTACTTGTATATCATCCCGTCACAGTTTGTTCTGGGGGATTGCAAAGTCACACTCATGTCAGGTCAGTAACCCCAGGACAGTATTTAAACCTATATGCTATATTACTATGCTGTCTAATTAAAATATCATACTTTCATCTTAAAGATTAAATGGGGTAAAGAAGTTATTATTAATTTATTGTAATTTTACAAATTGGGAAAACGCAACAACGGAAATTCGATATTGCGTAACTTTGAAATAAGAATTATAACGTGTATCCAATAATAGTATGTTTATAAATGTCGTTAATTGGGGATAACACAACTTTTGGTTATGCGACCCATTGCTCTTGTTGTACGTTATCCGATATAATAACGCTAAACGTTTGAGTCTTTAAATGGCACGATTGCAAATGTCGGAATAAAATTATTAATGCACTACCCGGGAATCGAACCCGGCTCGCAAGAATGGGAATCTTACATGCTACCACTACACCAGCAGTGCCGACATAACATAAAAGCACAATCACATAATATTTAATACGCTTCTACGGATTATTCTAACATGTTTTACTGGTAGGTACCAGCACGGTGGCCGTGGCACCAGGCATAACATCTAAATCTGAAAACTACGATTTTTAAAATCAAGTTTAGCGAATTGTGACCAGCACACACACGGATGTAACTTTCGTCCAAGGGTTTACATGTATATAACCAATTAACGAGATTTGTTGCTCTGATGACATTACACAAGGATTCATTCAAAATTCAGCTTGTATATTTTATCATCGGAACCATATCCCATGTTTTGGACTATAAATAGAATAGAATATTGTTTTTTCACAATCTGTAAAGATTTTGTTTTGGTGTCTACACATTTAGGAGGAAATAAAGCGTTTTCACGTGACATGGTTGTGTAGCATATATGGCTCACATTTGCACGTCAGAATGATGTTTTAGCTGTAACCCCCCCCCGGTCTAACAACGCTGACAAGCCGTGTTACTATCAGGGGGAAATCTCTCTTTCTCTCGGGTTCTCCACACTTGTCAGGGGGATCTCGTCTCGTCTCTATATCTCGTCCCCTTGAGGTACGGGATCGGGAAAGTCACTTTAACTTTACAGTCAAATAAGGCACACACAACGAAATACGCTTCAGCTCTCGTCTTAGTCGGTCAATCGAGCACTCTATAAGACACAGCGCCCTGGGGAAAAGATCCCCAAGACTCTCGCAAGGCTGAACCAAGACTAGCCCAAGACTGGACTGCCTCAAGGCTCGCCCCTGGACTCTCTCGGACTCTCGACTGCCCAGGACTGCTCTCTCTCTCTACTGCGTCTGTCGTGCTGTGTTCGTCAAAGACCAACTCAAACTCTCTTTATTCATTTTCAAAACTCTAACCAATTACAAAACAGTAAAAAGACTCTAAGGCGTAACCTTCAATCATAAAGCCAATCACACTAAGTACTGAATACGTCATATCTTTTGATTAATCGTTCACTACATTAATAACTACGGATGTCAGAATAGCGACGGTATCTTGTAATTAGTTCCAAACCACTGAGCCAAGTTCCGTCCAAAACTTCAAATAGGCCTACACGATGACAGACATAACACAGCAATTCGCTAATAATCAACTAATTAAGTCGGTCAAGAGATACGCGAAAACAAATTCATGACATTACAGCCATCACTCAGGCACACGTCTTTGTCGATTGCATAAACATGCTGGTTTACGTCATTCTAAAGGCCAACTAGAGGCCATTTCCCTTTGAATATTCTGAATATATACCTGAAACATGCATATTGGCTTTTATATGTTTAAAAGGACGAAAACTACGCCCGAACGCTTTGGGGGGTACGAGCCGAAAACTGACCCATTTCAATCCGCTTCTTGGATCCGAACCATCCGCGACACAAGCCGAGTTCTGTCAAATGCTGGTGGAAAGAATTCACAAAAATAATAGCAGATTAAATATTCACAAAGTTCGATAGATTGTGTCTGCTCATGCCCAACTACGTATACGAAATGAGGCAACAAAGTAAGGGTCGTCTTTTTAAATGCATACTAAGTATGTTAGTTTTTTCCTGCAATGTTATTCCACTTACCTTCTCACTTAATTGATTATTTTTATGGCGAATTATCCGAGAACATGCTTATATTTTGCGCTTTGCTAGTATTTGTTATGGCCTATATCAGTTTTACAAACCACAGCGAATGAAGCAATACTTAGTGATCTTGGACTTGTAACAATGGAAAACAGATTAAAAAATATATTATAAACGGTTATGCCAAAAGAAAAGGTATTGGGTATTAAAACGTAGTAACCATTATAATATATGTACAAACAAAAAAGTTGTGCAAGATATTGTCAATTGGAAGGAAAACATACTCTACATGATATTCAAAACAAAGAAAAAGATACCTCAAAATTGTCTAAACTTCTTGAACCATTTTTAAAATGGAAATCTTTATCTTGAAATGTGACGCTTTTTCCAGCCAGAGGGAAATTATGATGAATAAATTCAAATACACCTTTTTTGTTCTTTATGATTATTTTTATTCATATAATATTAAAAAATACATAATAAAAATAATCTTACATGTCAAAAGGATGCTTAATAACTGAGCTTAGTACATGCAGACAGCATGAAAGCCGTCCACGCGATCCGCGCAACACAGCGAATTGCTACAATACAAGACTTATTCAACAAATCAAACATACCTTACTGAGTAATAATGAATTGAACATGTGGAAAGATATCTCCAAGGGCAATGAACTGTTATTTTCTCTTTTGGACTCGGACGTCACCAGCTAGGACCACAATGTTGAACTTTGTAGAAAAATAGATAACATCTTTAAACAATTCCTCATTGAGTGTTTGTACTTTCAGACACGTGGTTTTCTACTCCAATTCCTCATTGATTGTTTGTACTTTCAGTCACGTGGTTTTCTACTCCAATTCCTCATTGATTGTTTGTACTTTCAGTCACGTGGTTTTCTACTCCAATTCCTCATTGATTGTTTGTACTTTCAGTCACGTGGTTTTCTACTCCAATTCCTCATTGATTGTTTGTACTTTCAGTCACGTGGTTTTCTACTCCAATTCCTCATTGATTGTTTGTACTTTCAGTCACGTGGTTTTCTACTCCAATTCCTCATTGATTGTTTGTACTTTCAGTCACGTGGTTTTCTACTCCAATTCCTCATTGATTGTTTGTACTTTCAGTCACGTGGTTTTCTACTCCAATTCCTCATTGATTGTTTGTACTTTCAGTCACGTGGTTTTCTACTCCAATTCCTCATTGATTGTTTGTACTTTCAGTCACGTGGTTTTCTACTCCAATTCCTCATTGATTGTTTGTACTTTCAGTCACGTGGTTTTCTACTCCAATTCCTCATTGATTGTTTGTACTTTCAGTCACGTGGTTTTCTACTCCAATTCCTCATTGATTGTTTGTACTTTCAGTCACGTGGTTTTCTACTCCAATTCCTCATTGATTGTTTGTACTTTCAGTCACGTGGTTTTCTACTCCAATTCCTCATTGATTGTTTGTACTTTCAGTCACGTGGTTTTCTACTTCTAATTGATTTATTCCTGTATGTGTAGTTCTATTGGTGAGCCCCTAATTTAAAAGGAATGCAACAAAATATAAATAGAAAATAGTTCTACCAACAGCGCTTTGCAAAGGGCTTTAAAATAAATATACATATTTACGAAGGCAGACAAACTGAGAATTCGAGTACGGCTTCCATACGCGTACGTTCCAATTCTTGCGTCTAGTGACCCTTCTCCAATATGTGGCTGTGATCATAGACCCTCTAACAGAGGGTCTATGCTGTGATGAATTATTTTTGTTGCTATAAATCCTCACCACCAAAATTGAACAAATTTAGTTAAATTTGGGTGTTTCTTCTCGAAATGAATCTACTTGCGAATTACCGTGTGACAATGTAACGCCTTTAATTCTGATAGTGGTGATTTACAATTTACAATACCGTCGTTTGACGAGTATCTTGGAAACATTGTAGGTAAAATCATGAAGATAGGCACTATGGTCAATACATGGGGCTAAACAAAGAAGTTACATGGTCAGCTACACGTGCGGATTTAGAGGGAGGCGCCCCCTTCAGCCCGCAAAAAAAAAGATGATAAATCAATTGACAAACCCAACCCACCCTCAGTCACGTCAATAGGAGCGGGCACCACCGAATTTCTGGATTCGCCAGCTACAGGTTTAGGATTGTCCTCGTTCGCGTAATGTCTGTTAAAGATCGAGCATTAATTGTTAATTGACTGTTCCAAATTAAAACTCGTCAGCACTGCTGGTGTAGTGGTAGCATGTAAGATTCCCATTCTTGCGAGCCGGGTTCGATTCCCGGGCAGTGCATTCAAATTTGTATTCCCACATTTGCAATCGTGCCATTTAGATTTATATGGGATAACGTTTTCTCATGGCGAATCACATTAATAAAAGTACAACCAGAACAATGGGTCACATGACCAAAAGTTATGATAACATACCTATAAATATATATGCCTTATATCAGCTAAATGACTGTAGTAATTCTGTTCATTATTTTGAAGAAATTAAGTATTCGAATTGTAGTTCGTATCTTTCCAAGTAAGTTTACATTACACTATGATATTTACGGTGTTAATAAAGAATTCTTTTCAATACTATAATAATTCAAGTTGTTAAACGATAAAGTGTTGCTGGTCTATGGTGGCTGTGCTGGAATTATTTACTACATATGCTGCATTCAAAAAGCAGGAAAGAAAAAAAAAATGCACTACCCGGGAATCGAACCCGGCTCGCAAGAATGGGAATCTTACATGCTACCACTACACCAGCAGTGCGGACTAGTACAGAAAGGTAAAAAATGTTCATCAATTCACTTCATCACTTCACTAACTGTAACAAAAGTCAAAGAATACAATAAACAATAGATTTATTTCAAAAGTATATGTATATGTCTTTCCAAGAATAAACAATTTAATCTTTATTTTACGCTGATTACCATTTAATCCCCTTACTTTTCCAATTTTGACCCACGTTTTCATACTGCGTAGATTGTTGTGCTTACACAGCAATTTAATGTCGCAAAAGGCCTACTTAACTTAATACAAATTAGCATTTTCCAAATAAATTTCCTTCTTGATCTGAGTTATTCTAATTTAAACAAGGATAGTTTAAAGCAAGTAAATATAGTAAATATAATACGTAGAAAATATAATAAGGAAAACAGATAGTTTGTTGCAGATAGTAGATAGTTGGACTAATGTTCCGCGACTACCCGAGATACCCGATGTTCAAAAAGCTGTCGGCATAAGCGGTTTCAAGATACCGGCTTGCGCAAATGGATGCGCAGACGCGTTTAATATCGCAATTTATGAAGTGGAGTGATGTACTCGCTACCCAGACCTGCTAGTAAACTACGCATCGACAGCAGAAGGGGTAAGTTTAATGTCTAAATACAACCCGTGTGACGTTGACCGGGCGCCGTTAATAAGAATGCTGAAAAATTTACGTTTCTACCCCATGTTTAAGCGGTTTTGTGCTTACTTTACATAGGTATATCGCAACAACAGTTGGAGAGTTCAGACCGAGATACTACCAACCGCAAGGACATTATTAATGGCCATTCAAATAACGTAAGGTAAGATTGCCACCCGGGTAACAACATTGTTAAAATAAATTTCAACATTTGCAGATAATAACTTCTATTAACGCTATGTTATATTAGACATAGAATTGATGGAATTCCCATGAGGTTTTCAAGCCGTGCTCGCCACCATGTCTTTATTTACGCGTGGCTCAGTCTCTGGCACAATCAATTCTGCCGAAATTTATCGTAAAGCACGTTATCCGGGGACGGTGACCAATTTCACTACTTTACATTCGAAAGCCCGGCAACCGTATACAAGAACCTTACAGTATATAATGTACCAACTTGGAAATATCTAGTATTTTAGTAACTGTATCTGTGTGGTAGTCTTAATCTCCAATGGTACACATGTGACCTTATTACACGTGGTGTGGCATATACACAATTCATATACTGTTACTTTTACAAATTGGACGTCTCTTAAACGCTAAAGTTATACACTAGCTGTAAAATCATTATACCCTGCCAATATAGATTATCCCTCACTTAATGTTCATGCCAACTTACTGTTAAAATTAATATTGGAATACAGGGAAATATAAAAATATAAAATAAAAAATATATTTGTCACAGAAGACAAAACAAACCAATGTTGAAATAAAAATTAAATTATAGACATGACAAAAATAAGGTGCTGGACCACAGTCCTTTTATCATAGAGTGATAGAGAGACTGAGGCTAGACCAATTGTTATAAAGGCCCTGCTTTCCAAGCCTTGACCTCTTGGTAACATGCCAAATAAATTAGAGCAAAACTTTAATTAAAAATTATTATAATTATATAAATCATTTCCCACTTGAGACACCACTTGCTGAGTTTGTAAAAAATTTTTAAATAAACTATTACCGGGTATTGCTGAAATGTCGCCACTGATTGAGTTGAGTTATTTTTCAAATTCAGGATTGCATATAAATTGGCTATATTTATGTAATCGTGTAATTCTGTAAACTAGAAAATTTTCCTAATTGCATTAATGTAAAATACTTTATTTTTCACTTGTAACTAATTTTGAAGCTGAAGCAATGATTCCGTGAAAATAAAATCCAGTGAATATACCTTTTGTCCTATAACTTTACATTCAACACGTCAAAATTCAGTGAAAATAAATTCTGTACAAAACACCAAAAAAGTCTTTTTAGCGAAAAATAATTCCAGCTAAAATAAAGTATGAATAATAAAATAATCAGTACAACAAAATTCCACTAGTTAATTTGATGTTAATTAGAGCTATGAGGAATATATCTTTCTCAGTTTCACTCTAAAAAACACTGATTTTGAAAAAAATTGAAATATTTTGTGGATAAAATTCCAAGACTGACAAATGTCTGATCACCATGTGCCTAAAGAGAACAGGAATGGTCATACTGATAACCTTTTCAATAATGTTCAACTGACCTTTTGATGACCTTGATTACCTGTATCCATTTCATGGATGTTCATTCATCGCTTTCAAATACCATTCATAAATCTGTCAAAGTCACTTAAAGGGTCATTCATAATGTATTTGTTATTTTTAAACTTTATGGTATTTGCAAAGTGAAAGTCAGATCTTAGTTTTACTAAATTCTATTATAGCAGTTGTGAAAAAGGATGAAAAAAAAATTGTTTTGAACTTTTGAGAAGCCCACACAAATGGACCAGCATTAAATAAATGTTATTCTGGGAACACACCGAGTTCAAATACCAAGATGCATCTCATTTTAAAATCTATCTGACGAGTATAATTTTCTGTGTTTGATTGATGAAGTATAAGCTCTTCAAGAGAAGTTTGTAGTTCACCTTCGTCTCAGCTTTGTTCATTTCATATCATGGTAAAAAGAAGCACACACATTTGGACAAATACATACATCATATCAGCATTATAATTCATTGTATCAGAAACTTTGGAGCCAACATTTTGCCTATTGAATAAACCCAATGTATACCATTCATTAATGGCAATTGCCATCATCTATACAGATTACCATTATTACTAGTAATTATTAAGGATGAGTATATAAACTTGGTTACCATTTCTTTGCAGCTCGCCTAAACCAGTTTTTAATGCAATGAATAATCGAAGAAAACAACATGTGAATAGTGCCCTTTATATTGAGTCAGTGACCCCACAGCATGAAGCCAATGTACAGTATCTAGGCAGTGGTGAGTTCTTATCCTTTCTGCATAAAAACGGTGCTTAGTATTAATACTTTTGTGATGTTTAAATGTACAAACATGGAACAGGCTGTGAAATAATATTAGAGCAAAATACTAGGATTTTTGATAATTTGAATGAAAGCGGAGACCGACTCAAAAATGTTTTGATCATGTTGACCATCAAGCTAGTAAATCATTGTACATTTCTTTCTGTGTACATTGCATGTATTGTGTTGACAATTCAATGCAGCCTGTTGGTACATTGTATGCTTTGTAAAAAAGAAAATCTCAATTTTTCTCAAAAAGCTTCAAGGACAGACTTAGTATATGTCTTAGAAATTAGTGATGGTTGTTGTGTCTGTTTAGCATCAGGTTCTTGACCCAGCTGGGCAGAAACCTGTATTGGCTCTCAATCAGCTGGCCAGAGCTCTGAGACAATCTTGACTGGTTAGTTCAGCAGAACTCTGTGGCTCTTACGAAATGGAGTATAGCCCTGAGACAGGCTCTTGACTGGTTAGTTCAGCAGAACTCTGTGGCTCTTACAAAATGGAGTATAGCCCTGAGAAAGTCTTTTGGTTGGGTAGAGCCCTGAGACAGGCTCTTGACTGGTTAGTTGGGCAGAACCCTGTGGCTCTTACCAAGCTGGGTAGAGCCCTGAGACAGGCTCTTGACTGGTTAGTTGGGCAGAACCCTGTGACTCTTACCAAGCTGGGTAGAGCCCCGAGACAAGCTCTTGACTGGTTAGTTGGGCAGAACCCTGTGACTCTTACCAAGCTGGGTAGAGCCCAGAGACAGGCTCTTGACTGCTTAGTTAGGCTAAACCCTGTGGCTCTTAACAAGCCGGGTAGAGCCCTGAGACAGACTCTTGACTGGTTAGTTAGGCTAAACCCTGTGACTCTTACCAAGCTGGGTAGAGCCCTGAGACAGGCTCTTGACTGCTTAGTTAGGCTAAACCCTGTGGCTCTTAACAAGCCGGGTAGAGCCCCGAGACAGGCTCTTGACTGCTTAGTTAGGCTAAACCCTGTGACTCTTACCAAGCTGGGTAGAGCCCAGAGACAGGCTCTTGACTGCTTAGTTAGG